TCGCTCTGGGTAGTACAGTAGCCTCAGCTCTGCGGTTAGTACAGTAGCCTCCGCTCTTGCGGTAGTACAGTACCTCCGCTCTGCGGTAGTACAGTAGCCTCCGCTCTGCGGTAGTACAGTAGCCTCTGCCTCTGTGGTAGTACAGTAGCCTCCGCTCTGCGGTAGTACAGTAGCCTCCGCTCTGCGGTAGTTACAGTAGCCTACCGCTCTGCGGTAGTACAGTAGCCTCCGCTCTGCGGTAGTACAGTAGCCTCCGCTCTGGGTAGTACAGTAGCCTCCACTCCTGCGGTAGTACAGTAGCCTCCGCTCCTGCGGTAGTACAGTAGCCTCGCTCTGCGGTAGTACAGTAGCCTCGCTCTGCGTAGTACAGTAGCCTCCGCTCTGCGGTAGTACAGTAGCCTCCGCTCTGCGGTAGTACAGTAGCCTCTCTCTGGTAGTACAGTAGCCTCCGCTCTGGGTAGTACGTAACCTCCCTCTGCGGTAGTACAGTAGCCTCCGCTCTGCGGTAGTACAGTAGCCTCCTCTGCGTATATACAGTAGCCTCCGCTCTGGAGTAGTACAGTAGCCTCCGCTCTGTGGTAGTACAGTAAGCCTCCTGCTCTGAGTAGTTACAGTAGCCTCGCTCTGCGGTTTGTACAGTAGCCTCCGCTCTGAGGTATTACAGTAGCCTCCGCTCTGCGGTAGTACAGTACCTCTGCTCTGTGGTATGTACAGTAGCCTCCGCTCTGCGGTAGTACAGTAGCCTCCGCTCTGCGGTAGTACAGTAGCCTCTGCTCTGTGGTAGTACAGTAGCCTCCGCTCTGCGGTAGTACAGTAGCCTCCGCTCTGTGGTAGTACAGTAGCCTCCGCTCTGCGGTAGTACAGTAGCCTCCGCTCTGCGGTAGTACAGTAGCCTCCACTCTGCGGTAGTACAGTAGCCTCCGCTCTGCGGTAGTACAGTAGCCTCCGCTCTGCGGTAGTACAGTAGCCTCCTCTGCGGTAGTACAGTAGCCTCCGCTCTGCGGTAGTACAGTAGCCTCCCTCTGCGGTAGTACAGTAGCCTCCGCTCTGCGGTAGTACAGTAGCCTCCGCTCTGCGGTAGTACAGTAGCCTCCGCTCTGCGGTAGTACAGTAGCCTCCGCTCTGCGGTAGTACAGTAGCCTCCGCTCTGCGGTAGTACAGTAGCCTCCCCTCTGCGGTAGTACAGTAGCCTCCGCTCTGCGGTAGTACAGTAGCCTCCGCTCTGCGGTAGTACAGTAGCCTCCGCTCTGCGGTAGTACAGTAGCCTCCGCTCTGCGGTAGTACAGTAGCCTCTGCTCTGCGGTAGTACAGTAGCCTCTGCTCTGCGGTAGTACAGTAGCCTCCGCTCTGCGGTAGTACAGTAGCCTCCGCTCTGCGGTAGTACAGTAGCCTCCGCTCTGCGGTAGTACAGTAGCCTCCGCTCTGCGGTAGTACAGTAGCCTCCGCTCTGCGGTAGTACAGTAGCCTCCGCTCTGCGGTAGTACAGTAGCCTCCGCTCTGCGGTAGTACAGTAGCCTCGCTCTGCGGTAGTAACAGTAGCCTCCGCTCTGCGGTAGTACAGTAGCCTCGCTCTGAGTAGTACAGTAGCCTCCGCTCTGCGGTAGTATACAGTAGCCTCCGCTCTGCGTAGTACAGTAGCCTCCGCTCTGCGGTAGTACAGTGAGCCTCCGCTCTGCGGTAGTACAGTAGCCTCTGCTCTGCGGTAGTACAGTGGCCTCCGCTCTGCGGTAGTACAGTGGCCTCCGCTCTGCGGTAGTACAGTAGCCTCTGCTTGCACGTAGTACAGTAGCCTCCGCTCTGCGGTTGTCAGTTACAGTAGCCTCTGCTCTGCGGGATATACAGTAGCCTCGCTCTGTGGTTAGTACAGTAGCCTCCGTCTGCATAGTACAGTAGCCTCTGCTCTGCGTAGTACAGTAGCCTCGCTCTGCGGTAGTACAGTAGCCTCGCTCTGACGGTAGTTACAGTAGCCTCCTCTGCGTAGTACAGAGCCTCCCTCTGCGTAGTACAGTAGCCTCCGCTCTGCGGTAGTACAGTAGCCTCCGCTCTGCAGTAGTACAGTAGCCTCTGCTCTGCAGTAGTACAGTAGCCTCCGCTCTGCAGTAGTACAGTAGCCTCTGCTTCTGCAGTAGTACAGTAGCCTCCCTCTGCAGTAGTACAGTAGCCTCCGCTCTGCGGTAGTACAGTAGCCTCTGCTCTGCAGTAGTACAGTAGCCTCTGCTCTGCAGTAGTACAGTAGCCTCCGCTCTGCGGTAGTACAGTAGCCTCCGCTCTGCAGTAGTACAGTAGCCTCCGCTCTGCGGTAGTACAGTAGCCTCCGCTCGTGCGTAGTACAGTAGCCTCCGCTCTGCGGTAGTACAGTAGCCTCCGCTCTGCGGTAGTACAGTAGGCCTCCGCTCTGCGTAGTACAGTAGCCTCGCTCTGCGTAGTACAGTAGCCTCCGCTCTGCGGTAGTACAGTGGCCTCCGCTCTGCGGTAGTACAGTAGCCTCCGCTCTGCGGTAGTACAGTAGCCTCCGCTCTGCGGTAGTACAGTGGCCTCCGCTCTGCGGTAGTACAGTGGCCTCCGCTCTGCGGTAGTACAGTAGCTCTCGCTCTGCGGTAGTACAGTAGCCTCCGCTCTGCGGTAGTACAGTGGCTCCGCTCTGCGGTAGTACAGTAGCCTCCGCTCTGGTAGTACAGTGCCTCGCTCTGCGGTAGTACATGTAGCCTCCGCTCTGCGGTAGTACAGTAGCCTCCGCTCTGCGGTAGTACAGTGGCCTCCGCTCTGCGGTAGTACAGTAGCCTCCGCTCTGCGGTAGTACAGTAGCCTCCGCTCTGCGGTAGTACAGTAGGGCCTTGCTCTGCGGTAGTACAGTAGCCTCCGCTCTGCGGGAGTACAGTAGCCTCCGCTCTGCGGTAGTACAGTGCCTCCGCTCTGCGGTTTGTACAGTAGCCTCCGCTCTGGGTAGTACAGTGGGCCTCCGCTCTGCGGTTTGTACAGTGCCTCCGCTCTGCGGTTTGTACAGTAGCCTACCGCTCTGGGTAGGGACATAGCCCCCGCATCTGCCTCCCCGGGTAGTACAGTGCCTCCGCTTCGGGTAGTACAGTAGCCTCCGCTTGCGGTAGTACAGTAGCCTTCGCTCTGCGGTAGTACAGTGGGCCTCCGCTCTGCGGTAATGTACAGGTAGCCTGCTCTTGCGGTAGTACAGTGGGCCTCCGCTCTGCGGTAGTACAGTTGCCTCCCTCTGCGGTAGTTTTAAATAGCCTCCGCTCTGCGGTAGTACAGTAGCCTCGCTCTCGTGGTAGTACAGTAGCCTCCGCTCTGCGGTAGTACAGTAGCCTCCGCTCTGCGGTAGTACAGTAGCCTCCGCTCTGCGGTAGTACAGTGGCCTCCGCTCTGCGGTAGTACAGTGGCCTCTGCTCTGCGGTTTGTACGTAGCCTCCCCTCTGCGGTATTAAGTACCTGCCTCGCTCTGCGGTAGTACAGTAGCCTCCGCTCTGCGGTAGTACATAATTCTAGGTGTCGTCCTACCCCTGCGGTAGTACAGTAGCCTCCGCTCTTTGGGGAGTACAGTCCTCCATCTGCGTTAGTAACAGTGCCTCTTGCTCTGCGGTAGTACAGTAGCTTCCGCTCTGGAAAGTGTCCCCTAGGGTTGCATACCCGCTCTGCGGTAGTACAGTAGCCTCTGCTCTGTGGTAGTACAGTAGCCTCCGCTCTGCGGTAGTACAGTAGCCTCCGCTCAGTACAATAATTACAATAATTACATAGATGTTTTGTTATTGTAATAGAAAAATCACACCTTCAAAAGCGTTCCATTTATACATCTCATTATATTATATTATCTTGCCATACTTGATGTCTAAAGTTCACTAAGTTGCCATACTTGATGTCTAAAGTTCACTAAGTTGCCATACTTGATGTCTAAAGTTCAGGGTTGCCATGCTTGATATCTAAAGTTCACTAAGTTGCCATACTTGATATCTAAAGTTCAGGGTTGCCATGCTTGATGTCTAAAGTTCACTAAGTTGCCATACTTGATGTCTAAAGTTCACTAAGTTGCCATACTTGATATCTAAAGTTCACTAAGTTGCCATACTTGATATCTAAAGTTCACTAAGTTGCCATACTTGATGTCTAAAGTTCACTAAGTTGCCATACTTGATATCTAAAGTTCACTAAGTTGCCATACTTGATATCTAAAGTTCAGAGTTGCCATATTTGATGTCTAAAGTTCACTAAGTTGCCATATTTGATATCTAAAGTTCACTAAGTTGCCATATTTAATATCTAAAGTTCACTAAGTTGCCATATTATATCTAAAGTTCCAGAGTTGCCATATTTGATATCTAAAGTTCACTAAGTTGCCATATTTGATATCTAAAGTTCACTAAGTTGCCATACTTGATATCTAAAGTTCAGAGTTGCCATATTTGATGTCTAAAGTTCACTAAGTTGCCCTATTTGATATCTATAGTTCACTAAGTTGCCATATTTAATATCTAAAGTTCTCTGAGTTGCCATACTTGATATCTAAAGTTCAGAGTTGCCATACTTGCTATCTAAAGCTCACTGAGTTGCCATACGTTACATAGCTATTGCTATCTAAAGCTCACTGAGTTGCCATACTTGCTATCTAAAGCTCACTGAGTTGCCATACTTGCTATCTAAAGCTCACTGAGTTGCCATACATGTTATCTAAAGCTCACTGAGTTGCCATACATGTTATCTAAAGCTCACTGAGTTGCCATACTGTATCTAAAGCTCACTGAGTTGCCATACATGTTATCTAAAGCTCACTGAGTTGCCATACATGTTATCTAAAGCTCACTGAGTTGCCATACATGTTATCTAAAGCTCACTGAGTTGCCATACTTGCTATCTAAAGCTCACTGAGTTGCCATACATGTTATCTAAAGCTCACTGAGTTGCCATACATGTTATCTAAAGCTCACTGAGTTGCCATACTTAATATCTAGCCAGTTTAATTTTCATTAAAGTAATGTATGTCATTTTTCCCCCAGATCGAGGAAAAGTACAAAATACCAACACAAACTATTAAGAACATATATAGGAAAAACAAAGTCGGGTGAGTTTGGTTCAGACTTGATTGTTATGTTAATATTTTGATTGTAATGTTAATATGTTGACAATGTTGATTGTAATGTTAATATGTTGATTTTAATGTAATAGTTGATTGTAATCTTAATATGTTGACTAACGATATATGTAACTGTAATGTATACATTAACTGTTGTTAAACATTAACTGTAATGTAAATATTAATGTAAGTTAATATGTTGATTGCAATGTTTATATGTTAACTTAACCTAATATATAATTTTGATTGTAGTTTAATATGTTGACAATGTTGATTGTAATGTTAATATGTTGATTGTAATGTTAATATGTTGATTGTAATGTTAATATGTTAACTATAACGCTAATATATTAAATGCTAATATAATAACTGTTATGGTGATTATTATTAGTAGTAGTATTATTAGTATTATTCTTATTTTTACATTTGTGAGGGCATCGCTAAACCCGTAGGGTAGGGGTCATACAGTGACTGGGCAGTGACGAACTTAAGTTACTTTTATCATCCAATATCTTCACAAAAAACGTGGTGATGCTGATTGTGAGATGGAGATGCTGGATGGTAAGATGGTGATGCTGAGGTGGAGATGCTGAACGGTGAGATGGAGATGCTGGATGGTGAGATGGAGATGCTGGATGGTGAGATGGAGATGCTGGGTGGTGAGATGGAAATGCTAGATGGTGAGGTGGAGATGCTGATGGTGAGGTGGAGATGCTGGGTGATGAGGTGGAGATGCTGGATGGTGAGATGGAGATGTTGGATGGTGAGGTAGATATGCTGATGGTGAGGTAGAGATGCTGATGGTGAGATGGAGATGCTGATGGTGAGGTGGAGATGCTGATGGTGAGGTGGAGATGCTGATGGTGAGTTGGAGATGCTGATGGTGAGGTGGAGATGCTGGATGGTGAGATGGAGATGCTGATGATGAGGTGGAGATCCTGATGGTGAATTGGAGATGCTGGATGATGAGGTGGAGATGCTGGGGAAATAAATGGAAAATTTTGAGAAACTGTTTAATGTTGTGGGAGAGAGAGAGAGAGAGAGAGAGAGGAGAGGAGAGGAGAGAGAGAGAGAGAGAGAGAGAAGAGAGAGAGAGAGAGAGAGAGAGAGAGAGAGAGAGAGAGAAAAGAGAGAGAGAGAGGCTTCGTACATTAGGCATGAAGGAATAATGTAAGAGGGAAAACCATATGTCGGCGTGGGAAAAAGTGGATGAAGCTGTGGTTAGAATGAAAGGAAGTAAAGCAGCAGCTGGTACGGATGGGATTAAGACAGAGACGATAAAACAGGTGGAGGTAAAGGTTTGTAGTGATTGGTACATTTGTTAAATATATACATAGAAGAAAGAACGTTCGTAAGGTTTGGCAAATGTGAATACATAGTTCCTCGGCTCCTCTGTATAAGGAAATGGGTACAAGAGATAGTACAAGAATTATAGGGAAGAAAGTCTGTTGAGTACCAGTATACCAGGTAAAGTGTGTGGCAGAATGATTATTAAAAGAGTCTGGGGTGAAACAGAAAGTAGAACTGCAGAGGAACAAGAGGGATTTAGGGAAGGTAGGAGATGAGGTAGGGTAGAGGATGAGGGGAGGGTAGTGTAGGGGATGAGGGTAGGGTAGGGTAGGGATGAGGGTAGGGTGGGGTAAGGGATGAGGGTAGGGTAGGGGATGAGGTAGGGGATGAGGGTTAGGGTAGGGTAGGTGATGAGGGGAGGGTAGGTGATGAGGGTAGGTAGGGGATGAGGGTAGGGTAGGGGATGAGGGTAGGGTAGGTGATGAGGGTAGGGTAGGGGATGAGGGTAGGGTAGGTGATGAGGGTAGGGTAAGTGATGAAGTTAGTGTAGGGGATGAGGTAGGGTAGGTGATGAGGGTAGGGTAGGGGATGAGGGTAGGGTGAGGTGATGAGGGTAGGGTAGGTTGATGAGGGTAGGGTAGGGGATGAGGTAGGGTTAGGGGATGAGGGTAGGGTAAGTGATGAAGTTAGTGTAGGGATGAGGGTAGGTAGGTGATGAGGGTAGGGTAGGGGATTGAGGGTAGGGTAGGTGATGAGGGTAGGTAGGTGATGAGGTAGGGTAGGGTTGAGGGTAGGGTAGGTGATGAGAATAGGGTAGGTGATGAGGACGGGTAGGGTAAGTGATGAGGATAGTGTAGGGGATGAGGGTAGGGTAGGTGATGAGGGTAGGGTAGGTGATGAGGGTAGAGTAGGTGATGAGGATAGCGTAGGGGATGAGGGTAGGGTAGGTGATGAGGGTAGGGTAGGGGTTGAGGGTAGGGTAGGGGATTAGGGTAGGGATTAGGGTAGGGTTGGGGATGAGGGTAGGGTAGGGGATGAGGTAGGGTAGGGATGAGGGTAGGGTAGGTGATGAGGGTAGGGTAGGGTAAGTGATGAATATAGTGTAGGGGATGAGGGCAGGATAGGTTTATGAGGTAGGGTAGGTGATGAAGGTAGTGTAGGGTTAGGTAGTGGTAGGAATGAGGGTATGGGCAGGTGATGAGGGTAGGTAGTCATGAATTAGGTAGGTTGAGTAGGGTAGTGATCTGGTACTTGTGGTAATTGAATAGGATAGTGTATGGGTATGCGGTTATTGGTATGTGATGAGGTTAGTATAGGGGCATCGGTTCTAGTGTAGTGTATTTAGTAGGTGATAGGGTAGTGGTTGTAGGTTAGAGTTGAATTTTATAGTAAGTGATTAGATATGTAGGATTTTGGGTGGGGATAGGTTTGTATATTATTGGATGATGGTAGGGTAGGGTATTATAAGTAGCTGTGGGATAGGTAGGGTACGAGGGTTAGGGTTGGTTTGAGGTGGGTTGGATGTAGGTTTGAGGGTAGGGTTGAAGGTAGGTGGTAGTGGGTGGTAAGTGATAGTAGTTATGTAAGTGATTAGTAGTTAATGGGTTTAGGGAGGTACGTAGGTATGTAGGTGTTGGGTTTTAAAATGTTGGGTAGGTGGTCTGATTTACTTAATGTTATTTACTTAGTTAGGGACGTTACTTAGGTAATGATGGGATTGGATGAGACGGTTAGGTGATTTTATTATTATTGTGATTTGTATGATACTAGTTTATTTATGCTTTATTTCTGTTACGATACTGTAATATTTAGTTCTTGGGATTTATTTAGTTATTAGTTGTGTATTATTGATTATTTATATTTAATTTAGTTATATATTTAGATGTACTTAGGTACTTTACTTACTTTTTGTATTTTATCTGTATTTTATTAACTTTAAATTTTTCTTTATATTGTAAGTTTTCGTTAGCTTGGTTGTTGGGAGGTTATTTTATTTGTTTTATCTTTACTATATATACTTAGGTTAGTGTTGCTTTTTATTTGGTATTTTTAGTTATTTTGGGGGATTACTTTAAGTAAGGTTATAATTTAAAAATTACATTTTTTTAAATAAAATTTTTATTTTGGTTATTATTTAAAATAGGATTTATAATAATATATTTTTAAAATTAATATAGGGTGGGGATGTTTTGGGGGTTTTTTTTTAGGGGGGGTATAATTAAAAATTTTGGGGGGGTTTTTTTTTTTTAGGGGGGGGGGAAATTTTAAAAAAATTTAAATATTTTTTTATTATTTAATGGTTTTTTGTGTTTATAAATTTATTTAATTATTACCATTCTCCATCCACCACCCCTAACCCTCTTCACTTCCTAATCCGGCTTAGTTAGTAGGTTAGGGTCAGGGGTTGAGGGTAGGTTGTTAGGGGTGATGGGCAGTTGGTAGGGGTGTAGGTGAGGGTAGGGGCAGGTATTGGTTGGGGAGGGGGTAAGGTTGAGTGGTGGGACGGTGTAGGGGGTATGTGTAGGTATGGTGGGTAGGGGCGTTATTGGGAGTTCGGTATGGGGGTTTGGGTTGTAGTCGGTTAGGGGAGTGTAGGGGTTTATGGGGTTAGGTAGGGGGTACGGGGAGCTGTTGTAGGGTATGTTGGGCGTGTGTTTTAGTTTGGGAGGGTGACGGGTGTGCGGGAGGTGGTAGGGGTCGGTGAGGGTAGGGGGGCATCAATCCCCCAAAACCTCAGCAACGTTTAAGGTTGTTATAAATTATATAAATTAGAAAAGTATGCATGTGTGTGATAGTGCCTATATGACAGTGTTGTAAGTGTAATAACAGGTTGTGACAGCATGTAAATTTGTTAAGGGCAGAGTGAGGCTGAGGTTACGATAGTTAGTAGGGAAGAGCACTATTTTCGAGTGAAGACCTTAGACAGGGATGTTTGATGTCTTTAAAGATGTTTAAAATATTTATAAATGGGTTTTCAAAGAGGAGAATGCTGGATCATTGGTCAAGGCGGGGGGGGGGTGACATGGACCTGCCTCACATGGACCAGTGGACCTGCTGCAGTGTTCCTTATTTCTTATCTTATGTTTGGGAGACGTATGGGATTACAGTGATGAATCTGATATGATGGCGGAGTTGCTCATTGCCAATTCTCTTGTAAAAGAGATTATGAATGTAAGTTGTGAAGACTGGTCGAGGAATTTGGGAAGTTCGTAAGTGAAGGAAATTATAAGCAGCGCTGTGTGTCCCTAGTACATTTACGAATTTTTATTATAAATATACTAGGAAATTAAAAGTGAATATAGAGAAGAGTAAGGTGATGATGGTAATAAAATGTCTAGGCAATGATAGATTAACGAATAGATTGTACTGAGAAGGGAGTATGGAGAAAGTAAATGTATTTAGATATTCTGGAATGAACATGTCCGCAATGGGACTGTGAAAGACAAGGTGAATCATACAAGAGACGAAGTGTTGGGGCAACTGTGGAAAGAAAGAGGCCTATTTGTGGAGGTAAAAAGTTTATTGTATCAAAAAATAGTTGTGCCAACACTGTTATGTGAGTGTAGTAAGGACTTTAAACGTTGCATCGGAGATGTTATGTTAAAGAGCAATGTTTAGTGTGAATACTATGCAGAAAACTGAGCACAGAAATTATAAGAAGGTTTGGAGTTAGGAAAGGTATGAGTCAGAGGGCAAGGATTGTCAAGGTGGCTTGAGCCTTCAGAGAAGATGGAATAGAATAGGATGATCAAAAAGATGTATGAATCTGGGATGAAATGAATGATGGGTAGAGGTCATCCCAGGTGAGGTTGGAGGGAGAAATGAAAGATATTTTGAGTGCTAGGGACTTGAACGAGCTAAGCAAGATGTTTTTTTTATGGATTGACTGTGTATTGGAGAGAGAGCAAGAAAACATAAATGGAGTCAGGGCAGTTGATTAGCTGGACTTGAGTCCTTGAGGTATAAAGTACAGATCCAGCACTCTGAAGATGGGGTGAAGATGCCGTAGTTCAAGTGGTCGTTTTAATCTTGTACAATTTTGGGGACCCATAGCTTAGTCGAAGTAAATAAAAAAAGGCTTCGCTGTAAAATATTGGAATTTCGCTTTGAGTCTATTTGAACATTTCATCATTCTGGTGATTTATCACTACATGAAACGTGTTCTTTAACTAACACTGACCACTGTTGGTATTCTTCAGGGTGATGGCCAAGGTGGACGATGAGATGCTCCGCCATTACTGCAACGAGGACTTGTTCCTGATGGAGGTGCAGCACCGGGACGCTGACAGCTACGACCTCACACTCATAGAGCTCACGGGGGTCGAGCACTGAGTGCCAGTGCCAAGCGTCATCGTAGCTTGGCAGCTGGACTAGATAAGGAAGTCACAGGTCATCAAGAGTTAACGCCAGATATTCTCGTAAGGAGGGAAGCTTTTAGCTAGGGCGCAGCCCCAGCGACTCCTAGCAAGGAGAGCATACACGGTTTTGCTGTGATGCTTATACCAAACACCTGACGCGAAAGATTAGTTCAATCTTCCACAAAAGCTTCACAGAAGGCGATGTAAACAACCAGTGAGAGACTTGATGAACAGAGTAGCAAGAAGCTTCCCAAAACGTACAAAATCTCACGTGTTTAACTTCAAGACTTCTCTCCATAGTCTCAGAAGACCAACTGAGGAAGAAAAGAGTGATAGCGAGTCTCTCTAAATATTTACAAATATGCTGGAGACTAGTGGATCAAATAGCTACTAAAGTTTCAAAATGTGAAGCTAAAAAAACTACAATTAAGGTGATTTTGCTGTGATTTTGTTTAAAAGCTCTTGGTAGAGATTTGCAGAATGTATCTAAAACTTTGAGACCTTGAGATGAGCTGTGAAAAAAACACTGTACAAAAAAATCATGACTTTTTTAATAGGTTGTCACAGATATATTCTGATTTGTAGCAAACTTTTCCCAGTATGGCCTAGTGTACCTGGCACCATAAATTGTGTGTGGTAACATGTATTGTACATGGCACCATGTTTTGTACATGGTAGCATGTATTGTACGTGGTGTCGTGTACATAGTATCACATACAATTTATGATGCCGTTTTACTATGTATTTGACATGGTACCATTGTGAGTAACACTGTGTATTTCACACTGTACATTACCTGGTGCCATGTATTGTACATGACACCATAAATTGCCCTTGTCACTATGTATTGTACATGTCACAATATAATACTGTACGTGGCACTATGCACATGTCACAATGTAATACTGTAACGTGGCACTATGTACTATATAGTGTTACAGTGTAATGTATATGGCACCATGTACTGTACAGTGCTACAGTGTAATACAGTAGGTGTGTGAAGAGTCATCTACATCATGGTAGGCTGTTTAATGTTCGCCACAATGGTAACCTTCATAAAATCAAATGTATTCTAATGGATGATTTAAGACATAGTAATAATGCCATTTACAGGGTATCAAATGCCACTTCCAGTTACGAGTGAATGTTAAGATTATCATCACAGACATATACATTTTTATATTCTTTACAGTGTGTGCACATGTTTTGGAAACACCAGGAATTGCTTTATTATTTAGCACATATTTTTTTTTTACTACAGAGCCATTTAGAGAGTGACATAGATGTTTAGGTTAATATGTGATGTGTGAGGATCACGCCAATTGCTCTACCGTCTCAGATCAAATCTGTTGTCCCGTTGTTGCTGTTTAAGTACAGTGATATTCATGTTACTATGCTGAGCCGTTTATCTTGCCCCTTTATCTGAACGTGTTTTCCACGACAGTGCCATATATATAGCAGCCACGGTGACCACCCTGTCATCGTCAACGACACGAATTACGAGTACTCAGTGGATTCCGTCCCAGGACTCAAAAACCGCAAACTTTGTTGTCGGGAGAATCTGAAATGGTTTAGGTCCCGTGTGTGAATATGTGTGTGTGTGTGTTTGTGTGTGTGTGTTTGTTTATGTGTGTGTGTGTGTGTGTGTGTGTGTGTGTGTGTGTGAAAGAGCTTGTGTGTGCATGCATGTCTGTTAAGAGAATCCTCCACCATAACCGCACCGCCACATCTCCCTAAGAAGCCAAATTCTCTCTCTGAATTATATCCCGTGCCTTATAATCTTAATCGTGTTTTGTTGATGTTGTTATTTAATCAACGCAGAGAAGTCAAAGAATCACTCTCAAAAATCAAGGGCTTGCTGTCAAGACGCTCATATACTAATAATGGGATTCTTGCATAATGGAATTTATAGGGTCCATAAGTATTCAAAGACGGATTCGCTTTAATACAGTTGATGATTCTTTCTCATCTATACAAGAGTTACTTCATAAGTCACCTCCGAGGAATGTACTTATTGTCTCCGTCAGCAAACCCCAGCCTTATCCTGTGCCTTCCAAATATCTTTTGTAAACTATTGTCTTTCTCAATTCAGATGTTTTGTTAGGTATATGCAGATGTTATCATGTGTTTTCAAATATGCCTGTAAGAAAAATTATGCAAAGCTAAAAGCTAATTTATATACTATATCTTTTAAAACTTTGTGTGTTTACATAATAAAAGACTGTAGTTTTAGTACATAAAGCTAGGTTTAGCTGAATATATGCTTCGTCTTATTCCGGCATTCCACTTTACTAATTCTATAGACTAGAGTATTGAGTTAGGATTCATTACTGATGACACGATCACTCAGAGGTCTGTGTCACCTGCCATTGTACAAGAGTCCGCCCATGAAATCAATGCTGCAAGTTTCATTTTAATTAATATTAATGGCTGATTGAACTGTATGATATACAAAATAGGCTTAATAATGTGTAAATATGAATATTGCTTTAATTATTTGTGGTTTTAGCATAATATATATCATTAGCTTTTAAGTCTGTGTGAAAGTGAGAGGCGGTGATATACTTGTTAAAGATCTTTGTTACTATAGTTTTGTAAGAAGAAATGACTATATTAGTGTATATACTTAGCTGTGTGGGTGGCAGAACCCGCCTTGCGGATCCCTGCTTCAAGCTTCCCGGTATACTTAAGAAAATTAAGACTGTTTCTTGGGCTCAACCAAAACAACGGATTCCTTGCAAGATGTTCTTCACGGATCACTTGTCTTTCTTGCTAAAATGTTGGAAAAGTCATCCTATTGAACCCGAATTCCCAAAAATTCGTATGGTAATTTCTCTCCCTTATGTGAGGTAAATGAGAATGTGACTGGATTACGTAAACTTAGACATAAACCAAATGGATAATAATAAATACGAAGGTATTGTAACTGTACGTGAAGCTGTTCTCTCTATATATCAACCCTGGGAAAGAAATTTAATGCCTATTGTTGGGAATTTTGTGTTTAACACTGGATGCAATCCTATTTGGAATGATATCGCTGTTGTGGCATTGTAGTTAATAAATGTGTTGGGTTCAAGCTTCTAGAAGAGAATTGGATTCCATTATATCTTACAGAAAGAGAAGACATACGTGATGGTTGGCCTAAGTTTTGTCGTGTTTATGTAAGTAATCTTTTGATCAGCTCTCTGTTCTAGTGCGCAGTGGTAACACCTTTTTCAATGCTTTCTTTATTTTTTTGTATTGAGTAGTTATTTTGAAAGTCGTGTTTATATAATTATATTTATATGTAGAATGGAAAAAATATGATTTAGAAACCTCCCCGTAAGTAGTAAACTGAAAGACACTGCTGCAGGAGAGGTGCAGCATACTTCACTCCCTCTGCTGCAGGAGAGGTGCAGCATACTTCACCCCATCTGCTGCATGAGAGGTGCAGCATACTTCACTCCCTCTGCTGCAGGAGAGGTGCAGCATACTTCACTCCCTCTGCTGCAGGAGAGGTGCAGCATACTTCACTCCCTCTGCTGCAGGAGAGGTGCAGCAAACTTCACTCCCTCTGCTGCATGAGAGGTGCAACATACTTCACCCCATCTGCTGCATGAGAGGTGCAGCATACTTCACTCCCTCTGCTGCAGGAGAGGTGCAGCATACTTCACCCCCTCTGCTGCATGAGAGGTGCAGCACACTTCACTCCCTCTGCTGCATGAGAGGTGCAACATACTTCACTCCCTCTGCTGCAGGAGAGGTGCAGCATACTTCACTCCCTCTTGCAACCTTCTGGATAACTCCTGTTAGAGGTTCATGCTGCAGTCTATGTTCACCTGACTCCAATTAACCATACTGTGTGCACCTACCCAAACTGGTTTATCAAA